GCTGGCTGCTGACGTAGGTACAGATAGATCTATCGATAGATATAGAAACACTCGTTTGGTGCCTCCTTTTTCCTTTTATAAAATCCTTTTATAAATCCGTAGTGACGACACACTGTTGCAAGCTCAGGATACCAGAGAGCATCTCAGGGAAGGGCATTCTTTAAAGGACTTCTGTTCCTCTGGGAATCCTGGTAATAAAGACCTGATCTGGGGTATCTCCACCTCCCAGTCCCGGTGCGATTTCACACCTGTGTGGTTTTCCTGGAGCACGAGTCCCGCTGGCAGGCCCACCGCTGTGCCTAGAGCCCCCCGAGCTGCTCAGGGCTCTGGTTCCCATTCAGCGTAGGGCTGGATAAGGATTTCCTGGAACTGGACCTGGGGAAGCAAGCAAAGGTGACGGACAAGGCAAGCAGGTTACTGCTGTTTCAGGAGGCAATATGGGCAAGAGGTTCCCAGCCAGGCCTGTCACACGGTACCACAACGGCCGTCACCCTCTGTACAGCTCAAGCCCCAGTTCTCAATTCCATGAGGCTCTGGAGCTCTTGGAGCTGCCCCAGTTCCCTCCTCAGTCATTACGGGCTGGCAGTGCGAGGCCATTTATAGCCCAACCATGACACAGCAGCTTCCTTCGCTCCCCAGCTAACTGCAGCAATGAATGACTGAGGGAGGGAATAACTCAGCTAAACTCGTTTGGAGGAATATGATTTCCTGGAATTGGCCTTTGTTTGCCATTAATGTTGACTGTGTTCCCGTATCCCCTTCTATTAGTCATAACAATAAAGCCACTATTAAATGCAAAAGCCAAGCCCACTTACTTTACTTCCTCATACTTTTTGCCTCGATAAAAGTTACTCTTTTTAATCAGATAGAGCAGCACCAGGTCACAAAAGAAAGCTCCCTGCAAAGAGAAAGAACTTGTGTTTTATCTTTAGAGTAGAAGAGGAACTTCTGATCTAATTAGCGAGGCACATTCATTAAAGAAGAATAACTTGCAGGAGCTGCATTTTCCTTCCTGCTCCATGTAACCCCAGGGCCATTCGGACTCGCAGGTACATTAACAAATGCCTGCAAGACAGGACACAGACAGGCACCTGAACGGTCCAAGTAGCAAAAGCTCTACTGGAGCCGATAGGAACCAGCCGTCCCGTTTTATCCTCGAACAGCGCCATGAGGGAGCTGGATCCCAATACGTTACTTTAAGGAAACACATTCACTTACCGCTCCCATGAGAGCAAGCCCCGAACCGATATTGATGATGGTGGGAATGATGTTAAATTTCCCTGCCTAAAAGAAAAAAGGCCATGAAGCATTTGGCGAAGGAACAAACTTCAGGGTGTGGCAGTAGACAGGGGAGGCCGCGGGTGTGTTTGGTTAGCAGCAAGCAGGCACGACTATGGGTCTGCAGTGAACAGCCTTGGAGGCTAAAGGCCTGTGTGCGCCTCGGATCCACCTGTCCACGGCTGCATTTCTGAGCTCGTGTTGTCCCTGGATTAGGCTTCTTTTTTCTGCAGCACATACGCATGGAAAACAAGTCCCTGGGGCCTATTTACTTCCGTCGGACTTTACACGAGCCTGTTTTTAGGCAGCAGAGATGCAGGCTCAGCTGCCCTCCAGGTCATCTCCTTTCTTATGTAGGCTTAGCTCCGTGCAGCCGAATGGCAAAAGCCCTTTCCTAGGACAAGCCAGAGAGGCTGCTCTCTTCCGAGAGCTGCCTTCCCACTGAGAACCCCCCCCCCCTGTTTTTTTCTCTCCAGGCTCCGAAATATCCTGGCCTGAGACCTCACCTTGCCATTCACCATCACATCAAAGCGGATTCCATACGCTTTAATGAGTGTCCGGTAGTCGACCCCCTCGGCATCCCGGTAATATTTGGCAAACCTGGAATACAACAAGGCTGATTTTAACTCCATCATCTGCTCCCACCCCTCCAAGAACCCATCTGAATTCACCCCTCTCTTCAAACAGATCTGTTCCCCTATCAAAGACGGCTTTAGCTTGCCACGAGCATGACTGACTCCCTCCCCTCAGTAATATTTCACTGCCAGCCTCCAGCACCTGCGAGTCAAACCAGCTCAGCCCAACCGAGTACCACATCATATTCTCCTCTTCACTTACCTGAAGTTGTACCCAGCAGAGATGGACTTTTCTGCAAACTTGTTGTCCAGCCGGCTAAAAGAATAGTGAGGATTACATTCAGAAGGGGCTTTATCAAGATCACAGTTCCATTCAATCTGAATTCCTATCACACCACCCTTAACGAAAGAGAGAGACAGTGTGAGTTTTTTAAGCTTAGTTCAATTAATGCGTCTTCAAATTTGTCAGGTCCTCGGGCAAGTTTTCCCCAGGGACACGAACAGCTGCACACACACACTTTGGGGGGGGGGGCTAAGTTCGTGCTTATGATATTAATCACACTACACATCTACAGACATGCTGCTATCCTAGGAGGAGGTTTCTCATCCCAGGACACTGCTTTCATTAATTTAACTGTCCGTAACGTATTTCAGTGAGGAAAATGCTCTTTTATGCAGGGATCAGGTTCAGGAGTGCAGAAGCCAGCACAAAGCCCGCACTCTTCTCACCCTGTGCTTCCCAGGATGCCTCAGACTGGCTCCATCTTCCCCCCTGGGTTTCACAGACTGGGGCGCAGCCTGTTTGGTGCTGCAGCCCCAGGATTCCACGCAGAAACGTGTCCGTTTCCCGCAGGGGAAGCCTCCCGGGGTGTTCTCTGAGCAGAGGAGCCCCACTGCCCTTCCAGAGTTCTGGGTTTAAACCGAAGGTGTAGCAGTGTTGAAATTAAACACAGACACCCCGCTGGCAGAGCAGCGGTTTGGGCAGCCCTGAATAACAGATAACTGACCTGCCCATCTCTTCCAGAGGACCTACGTCGCCCTGCCTCCCATTCCCTGGGGACAGGATAAATGGGACCAGCAGGATTTTAAGAACCAGCATCTCTCCGCTGCACCCCAGACAGGAGGCAGTTCCCTGGGCAGTCGCCAGTGGCTCTCCTCTTGGCCACCTAGCGAGGGTACAGCCAGGTGGGAAGCCACACGAGCCCGAGGGACACTCCTACCTCCAAGGCCATCTCCTGGAAGTCACTCCCAGCCCACCGGACGATGTTGCCCAGGAGGAAGATGGGGCAGTAGGGATGCTCCGTGCTGTAGCGGCAGCTCTTCAGGTAGGACTCGTTGTCAGTTGCCAGCACATTCATCCTGCAGGCAGGGAAGAGGGAAATCCTCCTTGTCTCCCTCTTTGCTCACCTGCACAGCCTATGCCACCAAGACTGCAGGGACAAGAGACTTCTCCAACAGCTCTTGTGTGCAACAGAAATGGCACCTGGCCACCAGCCTTGTCACCCTGCGAGCCTCTCTGCTGCTGGCCCAGGGAAAGCAGTCTGCCCACACAGAAGTGACCTCCAGGCCAGACGGGGACTAGGCCAGCTGAATGTGAGCTCAAGGAAGGACTCACATGGAGCAGGTTGCCAGGGTACTCCAGGGCCACTTACTTTTCTCAAAGAAAAAAAGTAAAGATGCTAGAAATGTCTAGCTGAGCCCGGCAGAATAGCAAGAACGCGCTCCCCTCCACACTTCTTTCATTCATATTGGAGCCAGAGCTGTAGCAACAAATGCAAACAAATATGTTAAATCTGCATTTTCCCAGCCTTGTCCAGGCACCTTCATTTTTATGGAGGAGGAGGAATATCTGGAGCAGAAGCAGCTCAGGAACCTGCCTACGCACTGGCTGGTGCAAAGATCCATCTGCCTTAGGAGCCCTGGTGCATCCCATGCTGCAGGAGCCATCCCAGACCTCACCTGGGGAAGGACAACCTCATCCCAGCTGCTCTCTGAAGCTCCAAGCCCTCATTATCTCCTTGTTCCCACACAGCCTGAAGCCAAAGGCCTGCCCTGCACCTTAGAAGAGGGAATATCCACCTCCCCACCCCAGCCCTCAGGCAGAAGGACAGTGGAGCAAACTGAGGTTATTGGTTCTGTGATGGAGAGGACAGAGGAATCTCCGAGCACCTGCACTTACTTGGAGAACTTAAACTTGGGGAAGCGGATTGAGTTCTTGATGTAAACAGTGAAGTTTTCTGCACTGGCAAGAAGTGGTTTCCTGGAAGAGAAGGGTTTGTTGTCTGCTTTACGTTCGTACCCTGCCCACGTGCTAGAACATGACTTGCCATTTCAGAAACAGCTAGGTTTCACCCCGTGGTGCTAGGCCAGCCACGCCACTTTCCCCACACTGCCAGCGAGGAGTTGGTGAGGAGTGTGCATGCTGAGGGGAAGCACTGAGGGCTGGAAACAGCACCGGGACAGCCAGTGAGCCAAGCAGGGGGGAGCGGAGGGCCAGTGGTGCCAGGGGGCCATGCAGAGCTCCCTCCTGCGCTGGAACAGGCAACATTCAAGCAAGCGTCCAAGCAGAAGGAACCCAAAAACTGCCCTGAATGACACACAAGCCAAGCAACTCAAGCTTGGAAACAGCATAAGATGGCCACGTACTTGGGCTTGGATCTTTTCTCCACTGGGCACCAGGCCAGTATCTCACAAGTCCCTCTGATACTGTCCCTGTCTTTCAAACAACGGCCAGTCTTAACCCCTGCAGCACAGACATCACAGAAAAGGTCACACAGAGCAGCCACCTCCTCTGCTTGCCCACAGGGCACACAAAAACGTCAGATGCTTTTCAGTGCCACCCTAAGCCCTCCTCCCTGCTGTGAAAGGGCCTCTCAGCTGGAACAACCACTCCCTTGTTGCTTCTCTGAGCAGCCTGGGGTGCTTTGGCCCGGCCACCACAGAGCTGTAAGCAAGGCAGCAATCTGAATAAAAGATGGTAAAGAAAAGAAAGTCCTTGACACTCTCTGTAATGAGAGATCTCTGGGGTTGTAACCAGGCTGATGCCTCTGAAGGAACCTGCCTCTACCAGAAACAGTACAGGAGGGACCCTTCCCTTACCATTGCCAGCCACCACCGCTTCCCCTGCCGGGCAGTCCCCATCCTTGTCACACAGGGCATCGGGAATGGTGACGCTCTGCAAAGTGGAAGAGGACAGAAGTGAGACCTGTGACAAGACACGAGGCTCAGAGGGGTAACAAAGTGCTGCCGATAAGGGGTGGATCCTCTATAGGATGCTGAACACTGAAAACTGAAGTGCTAACTGCAGGTCATGTACCAATAGCTTGACTGTATCACACCACCAGCAACACCACAGTTCAGCTATGACGTCCTGCTTTTGGGCTGTGCTCAATCTGGAGAGGGAGAGGCTGTGGAAAAACCCAGACAACACCTACCACTCACCAAAACCAAGCAGGAGGCCCCAGTACTTCACCCTAAGTGACAACCTGACCTTTGATTTAGTCTACAAGCTCTCTGAGCTCAAAATGACCCTTCTCTCGGCTGCACAACGGGTTAACACAGCCACTAGAGGACAGCTGCGTCCTGAACAAGCATGCTGTGCTCTTGGCCTGGGCTCCCCCTCTGCTCGTGATACGGACAATTAATCTCTGCTACACGGAGACAACACGCCCTGGACAGCCAGTGTCCTCCTCCCCCAGGCTCCAGCCCATTCTGAGCCGCGTCTCCACAGAGAGCATTGCAACATGACACAGAAAGACCTCATGCCTCTGGCCTGTCGGGCTCATTTTGGAAGGTACAAAGCACCCTCCCATGTCCTGAAGGTAACAAAAGCCTGAATGTTCAGCCCTTCCCAGGATCAGGCTCTTAGAAAGTCTCCTCTGCCTGCAACTAGACTGTGTCACCTCCAAGTTGTTTTCCCATGGCCTTTTCTGACCCTGAGCAATCACTGCCCTGGTCTCATCTCCAGCTGGGCAGATGTCCAACACCTTCAACTAAAGTCAGCAAGACTCTACAGCATCTGGGCCTCTGGAAATCCAGACAGCTGAACCTCCCAGGTTTGCAGTAACCAGCCCGATCTTCCCAACTGAGATGTGGCACTACAGAGAAGAACCGTTCGCCTTTCATCCTTCCTGCGTTCGTTGCTCCCCAGGTGTCCTCTGTCAGTTCTTACCCCCAGTTTTGTAGGGGTCTGGGGGCCAAGGGGCTCAGTTCTTCCTACCTCAGGACACGTGGCTTGCCTCTGGTTTGGGGTCACAATCAGATTTGTCATGACAAAGAAGACGTTTTCACCCTAGAATAAACAAAGTAAGGCAGAAAGAGTTAAAAAACGAGTTTTACTCTTAAAGTACCTGTTACAAAGAGGGTGCAGTTCTCTGCAGAACGGTAACACCTCCCTCCCTCCTGCTGCTTTTCAGCCTGAGATACAACAGTGCCCTTTGTCTGGATGAGGTCGGTGGGTCTCTATGGCTTCAGGGGTTCTGCTGCAGAGACTGCGTTCACTTGGTGAGCAGGAGGGCCGAGCCTTGCCTCGCTGGCTGCTCGGCGAGCGCTTGTCCTCCTTTCCCATAGGGACATGGTGCCTGATCAGGGCTCAAAGGCCCCGTCCCAGTGCAGAGCTGTGGGTGTTGGTGCTCGGCCAGGGCCAGGCTGGCTGCCCCAGCTGCGCTGTTCGAGCTCACGGAGCGAGGCAGCAGGGCACAGCGCGGGAGCAGATCTATGGCCACGCTGCGAACATGTGATAAACCAAAGCAGAGCACTCCTAGAAGGGCTGTAATAGAGAGAATACCCTTTATCGAGCCATTGGGATGACCGCCTGAGACATGCAAGGAGAGACTTGACCGCATTTTCATCCCGAACATCCTCCTTTGTGGCAGTGTAGTGTTTCCTCTGTATTTAGGCAAAGCCACGACACGCATGGCTGGCTCCTGTTCCGGAGCTTTCCTTTCTTCGCACATTTACAGCTTCTATTTGGTCCCTTCCGCACATTCAGCAAAAAGTTAAAATAATTAACTTTTCCCCTTAATAGTTTCCCCTTACCAACCAACCAGCAAAGGAAACCACAGGAAAAACAAGCCTAAAGACAGTTGTACAGTCAGCAAGAGGGGAGAGAAAGCCGCTTACCACGCTCTGCGGATGGAGGCTGGTTCACCACTCGGAAGTGAAACGAAAGCCGAAATAAACCACATGCTTCTACCACTTCTGCACCACACCGTGCGTACGTGGGCAAGGGAGGAGGGTCAGCACAGAAACACGGGTTGTCTCCTGACAGCCCCCGGCACCGGGGAGCCTGACCCTTGTCGTGCCAAGGGGGCACACGTAACTGCTAGAGCCAGCCCACAGTCCTGCCGTGAGGCCGGGCAGCCCCAGCATCTCGGACAAACAACCCTCACCCACGGCAGGAACCGGCAGCATGTCAAGCCCTGTCGTGTGTAACACCGGTTGCTTGTGGGAGCGAGCATCTGGTGATAAAATACCTGATCAGGAGCCAGCTCTAGACCCCGACACCCCCCCAGGCTGCACACCCCCCCAGGCTGCTCTGAATCACAACAGGGAACAAGACATTTCTGCAAACTTGTCAGAGAACAAGCCCCAGGAAGCAACACGGGAAGGATTCCCCAGGTGAATCCCTGCTCTACATTAAGCTTAACCCCTAAGTGCCACTGGTTCACCACGTCCAAGGGCATTCTCAGCCCTCAGTGATGAATTTCAGTAAGCTGAGTGCCTGCCATTTGTTCTGGAGTCTCTCAGAAAAGCCCTTCCAACGCACAGCCCTGCCTGTTACACATAAAAACCAGAGCTCTCAGGTTTCCACCCAAGAGAGCAGGGCTCGGTGCTCTTGCCCTCGCCTGGCTCACTCTCCTTCCCCTGCTGTGATTTGCATGGGGTGGGTTTACCCCACATCCCACCAGTGCTTTGGGACACAGGTACGTCTGTCCTCAGCAGGAGGGACACACTGGTCAGCAGCCGCACTGGTGGGCCCAGGAGAGCTGCCCCTGCTCTGTGGAGAAGATGGGGTTTCTCCCAGCCCTCACTGCCTCCTGCTTCACTACCTGGATCTCTCCAGTACAAACCAGCCCACCCAGACCCAGCAGGACAGCGCAGGAACTCTCCCTCCAAAGTGAAATGAGAGATTATGCAGCAGGTCACAGATGCAAGTCACTTAATGCACTGGTAGCAGGCATTCAGATTCTCCTAAAAACCCACGCAGGACACATCTCATGGCTGACCTGAGACATTCAGCAGACAAACAGTAATCAGCACGTGGAGCAGGAAAGCTCCTGAGATGTCTACATTTGCCCCCACAGCCCACAGAAGTTGCTGAGTTTCGCTGTGAGCCCAGCGTCTCACGTCACCATGGTTGCTGCAGGCTGATGTACACCGGGGCAGACTGCAGTAATGCTGGATTCAATACTGCAGCCCGATTGCACAGTCCTGTTTGGCTTCATGATGCCGTAGCCCAGACATCTGCGTTGCAGAGCACACCAGCCCAGGGCAGAGCTGGCTCTCCTTACTCAGCACGCCACACTGCTCCGCCTCCCAATAAGCCAACGCGCAGTAACAAGACCATTGAGTCCCAGGAGAAACATCTGCCAAGTTAAAACACCGGTCAGCGTCACCGTGTCATTCCTGGGTGTGCCCACCAGCCACCTGCTAAGTGTCCCAGGGCTCCCACACAGCTTGGCCAAGGGCACCGCCAGCACGCTGCCTGGCCTTCCTGCTGCGCGGCCCACGTTGCCCTGAGACTGAGGCTTTGCACTGAAACCGGTGGAGATGCAGAGCACAGCTCCACAGGTCTGAGTAAACGTGGGCTGCAGCAGGAGGAAGGCGAAGCTTTATTCTGGTGTACAGACAAGCGATTGTTCAATTCACACCTTTCTATCCCCTGTCAGCACAGGATCCTGGGTTTCCCCTCACGCCTTTCCATGCACTTGGTGGACGCCAGCAGGGAAAGCACAAACAGCCCCTGGCAAGCCCAGCTGGGCAATTTCCAGCCTCGTGCCAGGCCACATCTGCTGCCACCTTTTCCCCTTAAGCATCAGCCATGCGTCTCGCCTTGTCCAAGTCAAGGAAGCAGCAAGGCAGGTTTAGCCAGGCACATTTCAAGAAACCCTCATCGCTCAAATTGCGCCACATTTTCTTTCCATCTCCCACCCGCTCTGGGCTGCACCGTGCATGCCTGCTCTAGCCCAGGAACAGAAGCACGCAGACACTTTGCTCAGCTGAGCAGTCCCACTGAAGTCCACAGGACTTCTGCCTGCAAAGTTCTGCTTGCCAGGTATCATGGAGCCTTGCGAGAGAGACAAGGCTGCTTTGATATTTGCTGGAAAGACCCAAGAGAAGGCACAGCACCGCTTTCTCGTAGCCCACCTCCTGCTTATGCACAGGAAAGACCTGGATACACCACTGCAGCCTTCCCACCAGCAGCCAGGCTGGCTGATGTCTTTCTAGCTGAACGGCCAAGATGGCAGCAGCGAGGTGATGCCCACCTGCGGAGGGATGACGTAGTCTGCAACATCCCACAGCCTCTCCCCCAGCTCCGAGGTGTTGGTGAAGGCTACCCCCTTCAGCTTGGTGATGACAGAGCTCTGGAGGGATGTGTCGGTGTCCTGATAGCCCTTCTTGACCACAAACACCCACCTGTGAAGACACAGCAGGCAGCAGCATTAGCAAGTGGGGTCAGGGAACGAGTCAGCCAGAGAAGATTTACACCAAGGGCAAATCAAAACATGCCAATGACACCAAACCCTCTGCAGCCAATACCACATGTTTAGAAGGAACTCTTTGACACAAGCTGTGCTTCTCTAGAGCACTGGAGGAAAAGTCAGGACCAAGACCCCACATGCAGGGAAAGGTGTAATAACTGATCACGGGGTAAAAAAACCCAAACCTCCTGCCTCTCTGTTCTGTGCTACGCTCAGCAACCTCAATGGAAAGAGGGGGAGGGCTCTGTGTTCCTCAAGACAAAAAACAATATAAGACTTTTGCAAGTTGCAGTGAAGAGTGTGGTTGGTTTTGCAAATACATGACTCGCTCCCATTTTAGCAGCCTGCCATTAGGCGACCAGTCCAGCAACAGATCATGGCTGGGCAGCTGCAATTCCAGCAGGTGAGCTGCATATCACTAACAGAAATCTGTAGGGAATGTTCTCAGCTGGATACAACCTGACTGCACCCTGGTGTCTGTGCTGGGCTTCAGGCTTCTTGCTAGCACAGCTGGAAGAGCTGCTTCCTCACTAAGCGGTCCAGGGAAGGGCTTCACTTACTTCCTCCCACTGGAAGAAGCAAGAGCTCCATATCACTGGGTGAAAACCTCTCTGGGTTAAAAGAAATCCCTACAGCTTCTCCACAATACTGCCAAAATCACCTGCCAAGACAATGAATCACGCAGACGCTTGAAGCAGCTAATGGTGCCGAGGCAGGTTTGGGGGGAGAGACGCAGGCTCCACTTGCTGACACAGCTCCCCTTTGCAGAGCACCGACCTGGAGTGCACTACTGCATGCAGAAAGCCAAGGCAGCCATCTCTGGGGCTGAGCAGCACTGACATGCACTGCCCTTCACCTGCTGCTTGTGACAAACCTGAGTAATAACATTCCCCACCCCTGTGAAGTTTCCTACTTTCCTGTTTTCCCAAGAACAGTGTTTTTTCTCTCCCAGGAGGGCTCAAAAGCAGACCCTTACATTTTCTGCAGCAAATCGGGGAAGAAACGGCAGCTACAACGATCCAGAGGGGTTTGATGATCACAAGTCCCGAGCCAGCCTCTGAACAGGTACGGGTACGTAACCAAGCAGTCAGACTAAAGCCAACCACCTCTGCGACAAGCTGTGAGCCCCCAGCCACAAAGGAGTTACCGCAGGCACCATCAGTGACGGTGCCAAAGGTCTGCAGAAGGCAACAGCTGCCTAGGGAAGAAAACAGCCAGTACGGCCCAGATGGTCTCTGAACAGTCATGGCCACTGGTCATGCTATACCTCCCTTGGACAGAGGATGTGTCCTCGGCAACGTTACCTACAGGAGTCCTCCTTTAGCAGCTAATACATGCCAGACTGCTGAGACTTCATCTCTGCCCTGCTAACTAAACCAGGCTCTGGAACCGCACACCTTTCTATAAATAAACCCAGCACGTAAAAATGACTCCGCTATATTTAATCGGTGAAAACACGAGGTGTGAGAAAGATGACGGGACTCAGAGGCACAGACAGTGAGGGGAAAGACTTACGAATCACAGTCTGCAAAGCCTCAGAAACTCAGGAAGCAATGGCACAGGCATCACGTAGGCTGGATAATTCCAGGTCCGAGCCTGCAAGCTGCAAGCAGTATTGCTGTGCTCATTACATGTCTGTGCGACCAGTTTCTTGCAGAACCGAGCCTTTTCTGAGAGGTGCTCTAGCTATCTCCATGCCAACTCGCCCTGCTCTGAAATAAATGCAAGGCAGCCGACTTTCACACTGCCTCAACCTCCACAATCCTGCTGCAGCCCACTCCAGCAAAGAAATCTGCCACTTTGCGCTTGGTTCCCTCCCGTTTAGACTTGAGCGTGTCACACAGACAACCCAGGTTTATCCCAAGGCTCAGCAACCGTGGCCATAAATGCTATTGTTTCTAGTGAGTCAGGTGTTGGGGGTTTGGCACCACTCCCACCGAACACAGAAATAAAGGCGTAAATAATGCAGTGCAAAGCCATAGTGCCATTTGATCTATTTTTAACCCAACGTTAACCTGGCAGGTAGAGCTGAATCTAGCGATCCCTAGCAGGTGAAAACCCAGATCTGATCTATTAGACATTACAAAATCCAGCTGTATGAACAAGCATAACTATCTGCATTAAAATCATAAGGCACAGCAAGCTGTCGCTGTATGCAGAGTAGCCTACATTAATCTTCATCACAACACAGCAAGCAAATGCAACCGCAGCAGTAAGTGAAATGCAGGGTGATCCTTACCCCACCAGGTAAGCCAGGATGGAGAGCTGCACCACTCGATAGAGAATCCCCACCTTCTTGTTCTTCGCAATGACGTATTTCTCTGTTTTATAATCAAAAAGTGACAGAAATAAACCCTTCCAAGCCACCTGCCCCATGCTCCCGGCTCGCTCTGTGCCAGGGGCTGCAGCAGGCAGCAGCGTTTGCAGCTCGCATTATCCACACGTGCTCTGCATGGAAACCTGACACACCAACCCCTTCAGAGCGAGAGGCTGATCTCCTCCCTCCCGTCAGCTGCTCGCCAGCAGCAGCTCTCAGGTCAGAAGCCGGCAGCTGCACTAACATGAGATCCTTCCTTAGCTGCTTTCCAGCTAATTCATCCTCTGGGGAAACCCCTGCCTCAGTTTTGCCCCCAAGCTTCTTTCTCTCCCTGACAGCCACAAAATGTTTATAATGAAACACGTTATAGCGTGAAGCCACGTTACAGCATCCCGAGTGACAGAGCTGTAGGCTCTCACTGCGAAGTGTTAAAGCCGTTCTTCAGCCTTTACGTGATGGCAAAGTATCTGGTTAAATTTTTAATTTCTTAAGCATTGCATGAGCAATGAGAACTTGGGTCTTTACCAGTCATCCAAAATACCTGCCTGGTTACTACTGCTTCCCACCAAAAACCCAGCTTAAGAAACTAACAAATAAATTCTGCATGTGGTTAAGGGATCCTTACCAGTCATCCAAAATACCTGCCTGGCTACTACCGCTTCCCATCAAAAACCCAGCTTAAGAAACAAATAAATTCTGCATGTGGTTAAGGGATCAGTCACCATCGTGTGTCACTAAAACACACAGCGAGTGCTGAGCTAGGAACATGGGGATACAGAACATAGTGTCTGAAGAAACACCAAAGGGAGAGGAATAGTTTGACCCTCACTGAGATAGAGTTGTTTATTAACCAGTACTGCAAGGGATGACTCCCAGTCTAACAGAGGCATTCGTATTTGCAAGGACACGAAATGACCACTACTTAAACCAAGCAGGGTGGACACTGTCTCCTGGCTAGGGAAGGAACAAAATGAGCTCTGAGGTGGAAAATGAAGTAAGCCACAACCTTCCAACAGCCTGGCTAAAAGAGCTAACATACCTCACCAAGAGGAGATCCAGCAGCAAGCTGGGATCCAAACCGGTGTGCCTTTTCCGGGGGGAATCCTGTACCTGTGCACTGATGGAGGTGTGGACTGCCCATGGGCTGAGTCTATTAGAGTCCAACTGGAGACGTGAGGTGTTGTATCAGGCATAAAGCACAGGGTTTATGGCGTTCATGGGGCTCTGTCAGGACTGAGGAGGCTCTTGAGATCACACAGTGCGCAACTGTGATACCTGCTTGAACACAGGTCAAGAGAGTGGGTCAGGCTCTGGAGGCAGCAGGCAGCACAGCGAGGTGATCTGCTCCAGCATGCACACCTCTGCCCTATGCAATTCTCTTCCCAGGCAGAATCATTCTCAAGACCTCGGGGTTTTATGAAAATTTTATTCTTCCTCCTCCTTAAATTCCCTATCAAATTTAAACAGATGCATCCGTTTTTAATGAATATGTGACAAGGTTGCTCCAAATCACAAGGGAATCACAGTGTAATAACAACGAACAAAACACTATCCTCAAAATACCTCATTTTGTCCCTCGTCCCACAGCCACCCCTAGAGTTTCCTTCTGCAAAGCAAAAGAAACCTTCCTCCAGCAGCTGCAAAACTAGAACAGAAATCTGCCCGTGGCCTCCTTTCAACCCGGCGGCTGCTGCGCTCCCCAGGTCCAGCCCCACGGCGGGCGATTGCTTCTGCACGTGGGTCTCTCACAAGGGGCTCCTGGGGTGACGGGCAGGGTGCCGAGGGAGCGAGCCCCCCGCTCCTGTGCACTCCCCGTCCGCTCCACCTCCTGGGCCCAAGATGTAGGAGAGGCCACCCCAGCCCCCCTGGCTCGGGGGTAGCCCCAGCCCTGCTCCCAAATTTTGCAGCCTCAGCACAAACCTTTGCACCTTTCAGCCTCAGCACAAACAAAACACTGATCTCGCTCAGCTCGCCCACTGCTCATGACCCCTCCCTTTCCCTGTCTGCACACCCCACATGGGCAGCCTCTCTGTCTCACAAAACATGTTGGCTGCTCCCCAAGCCCCTCCTGGAGCCCTCTTTCTCACTCAAGCACCTGTTACTCACAGTTTCCCTTTCCTCAAACAGTATTTGGCCATTGTACCCACATCTCCTTACCAGATGCCAACAGACCAGACTGTCCCCAATTCCAGTCTTAAAGACTCTGTGTGAAAGCCTGAAGCACAAATAGAAAAAAGCCCTTAAAACATATAATAACCAAAGGAGACAAAACCCTCCAAGACAACACACTCCTGCAGGGAGGAAGGAGTCCACAGTGGTCCATGAAGCCAGAAATGAGTAAGAAGAAAGGTAGGTTCAGCTCATCTTCCCTCGCTACTGCCCGGACCCCAGAGCCAAGCGATTAGGGGCTTGCACAGGGGGACTGAGCCAGCGCCAGGAGCCAGAGCTGTATGGAGACAGGAGCATCCTAAAGGAGCCACCACCTGCCCAGTCTGCTCCTAGATGAGACACCTTGCAAGCATGAGCTGCTGGGTGACAGCTGAGCATCGTTTCTGATCGTGGGTTTGGTCCAACAAGAACACCATGTGCTTGCCCTGGCCCTGCTGGTACTGCTCCGGGGACAGGACTAGCCAGCGAGCGTATCCCATGTCTCAGGACCACCTCCACCATTGCTCCGGCTGCACTGAGAACACCCAAGTTCATGGACAAACAGAGTATCAGTGGAAACAAGTCAGCCCTTGGTGGTGTCCAGAGACCCTCCCCTTTCCAGCCCCATCTTCCTTGTCTGCCTGGGTGACTGCAAAGCCTAAAATCAGAGCAGGAAACTTGCTGGCAGTTAAACAGTGTGTTGCCTCCTGGCCTGGTTTTACTTAGTGGCACAGGCATAGGTCTGCTATGAGTTTTAGCAATTATTTTCCAGGTCAATTAATGTGAGAAAGGATTTACACAGGTTAGAAAAAATGTTCCTTAAGAGTGAGATTTGTTCTTGTTATAGGTGTGACCTGAAGATGACAACAAGGTTTGATCACTAAAAAAAAAAAAAAGGATGTAAAAGTGATACTTTTCTTGGTTTTTAGAGCCACCAAGAAGCAGCGCAGTTGCTATAGTTGTTTTCGAATAAAAAGCATCAATTTGTATCATATGATCCTCAGAATATTCTGAATACTGCCCGGCACAGGCTGGATTCATGCTAACAACAGTGTTGTTGGCCTGCTTTTGCAGATATTGGTCTTATCACCTTCTAATTTTCACAAGCTTAGCTTTTTTCTTGCCTGGAAATCAAGATTACTGGTGTGTTTCTCAAAGTATCTGTGGGTTGTTCAAACATAAGCAGTTTCACCCCCCGGCGGGGGAGTAAATAACCTAACCAAATCTAATCATCATCAGCTAAAGACAAAAAAAAAGTAGTCTCTCTTCGTCCTTCTCAAGGGACTGAGGCTGGATCTCTTCTGCAAGATATCTCCTTTCTTGAGTCCAACATTTTGAATTTCCCATGGAAAAAAACAGTTCTGCTCCTTTCCCATGAGGGCTATTTGCTCAGTCTGGAAATTCTCACAGGGAGGATTTCTCCTCTGCTACTGAAACTCTCCCTTTCTCTCGCTCTCTTTTTATGCCTGATGTATTACACCTATACTTAATTCCTCCTACTGTTCACAGTAATTGCCTTCTCCTTGCTCTCACGTAGTCAGAGGATACACATCCCTGACTGCCCAGGCTGCTCCTCATCTACATTTCCCTCCACCTGTCAGCAGCTCTTCGGTGTTAAGCTGCCCGAGAGCTGAACTCAGCCCAGTCATGAGCCTGTAAACGCCACATAAAGGGACTGTGGAAATTAAATTTTAGACCCCTGCCCTGACACGGTGGCATCTGAAACACAGCCAGGTCACATCTGCCTCTCTACGGTATTGTAGCATAGAAACACTTCAAGACTGACCCAATAAAATCTTTAAATTGCACCCAAAAGAGACCACGTGTTTTCCAGGCAATGGCAGCCAGCCCTGGCCAGTACAGACGTGACTCACGAGTGACGGCTGGAGGTGCCCGTTTTAGGCACTTGTTTTGTTCGCTTCCAGTTACAAACGCTCACCCTCAGGCATTAATTCTCTCGGTGATGCCCACTCTGCCCTTTACCGAGCTATCGAGTCTATCAAGTGAACAGGAAACATCGGCTCCCAAACGCATGACGGCTGACTCATAAGATGCTGAGATATTTCTGAAGCACTGGAAATGCTCCTGCAGCAAATGCCCGGGATGCAGATGCATCATCCTTTAGAGACAGCCAGCAGACCAGCTACTGAAATAGAAAGGAGACAAGGAGCAGAGGATGTAAATAGCAGATAAACTATTTTAGCAAGGAAATGAACAGCGGCGAAAGCAGAGGTCAGGTCTCTCCATTAGTGGTTTTTTCGCATTTTATCGTACTTGCAGGTCAACATCTAAAAAAAAAAAAACCCGAGGAAGCTGAAAGAGGAAGTTGCTTTTAAACCACAGCTCGTGCACACGGAAACACATGGAAATCTGTAACATCAAGCATAAGCTGCTTTCTGAAGATGATGGGTTTGGATGCAAGAGCAAAGAAACGCGTGAGCAGCCTGCAGTGAAAAACGCTCCGTTCAGCTCCTCTTTTAATCCTCGTTGTGACTTCGCAGAGTAAGTAAGAAGTAGGTTGCCACTTGCCAATGAAAAATTGACAAAAATCACCCTCAGAATTTCTCCTCCTAACTAGCACTGCTGCACACCCAGCCACGATGGGAAAGGAAATCTTTCTTCCAGGAGCTATTAGAGAAACATTCAGATTTTTTTTGCTTAGAAAGGGAATCTGTGGAAAGTCTTTCTGTCATTATCCACAGGAGCATCCAAACCTGTCTGCAGGAATGAGAAATGGAAGCGTGCTGAAGCTCCACAATACATGCTCGCTTTGATTCAGCTCACTATTTCCAGGAGAGCAATTTTCAGCCTTTGAATGCGTTCCAGGTTGCTCCCCCAAGTCGTGACTCTCCTACACAGTGTGCAAAGGTCTTGTTATCATTAGCCAGAGTGCTTATCCACTCCTCTCCCCCAGCCCAAGAAGTGAAAGTCCTTGAGGAAGAAGACCAGAAAG